CCCCAAAACCCCAAAACCCCAAAACCCCAAAACCCCATAATTCAAAAATGCACTTGAAATACTCTGTAATCTATCCGATAGTTTATCTTCTCAATATTTATATGAAATTAGTTCTTCTGCCTTTTTCTGCTATCCTTCATATCTTTGGATTTACTCCTCTTATCACTTCTTCTGGGAGACTTACTCTTCCTATCTCTTTTAGCTTGACTTCTGCTTCTATCCCTTGAAGTTGGAGACCTGCTGTCTCGGTTCGAGTGACGAGATCTTGGTCTTTCTCTGGATTTTGACTTAGAGTGGTACTTATCATCTCTTTTTCTTTGGCTATCTCCCTTAATATCTTCTTTTATCTGCCCTTTTTCCATATTATTTGGCTCATTTGCTCTTATCTTTCTGTTCAAAATGGAGATATACGCATTGGCTAGGGTCTTAAGATCATCTTCTTCACAAGTGTTGATCAGGTCTTCCATCATGTTATTTAATTTTATCAATACTGTTCTTCTCTGTTGGGTACACTGTCTCAAGTTTCTTCAGCATCACAATTGCATTCCTTGCAGCCATATAATCTCTCTTGAGACAGATTTTGACAATATCAAGGATCTTCTTGCCAAGGGTATTATGGACCTTTAAAAATTCGTTATAAGACATAATCTCTGGCCTTGGTTTGTCTGAATTCTCTTTATTATCCTTATCCTCTTCCTTATTAGATTCATCTTTCACAATTTTCTTGTAAAAACCTGGCGTTTTATAGCACTCTTTGTCCCAAATCTCTCTGATTTGCCAGTGATTGAGAGTTTTGTATAACTCAAGGAAGAACAAACCGAAGTTATGTGATTCTTTCTCTGTGCAGCATAGGATGTATGGTAATGTTTCCTTGAGTAAAAATCCTATCAGACCAATCAAGTTGAAATAAGGCGTCTTCAGCTTGGTAAGCAGCACCATGAACTTGATTACATATATAGCATCTCTTGGAGAAAACACCATTCTTGGGTGAATCAGGTACTGGATTACATACACCCTAATGTAGAGAATGTTCTTGGATAGAATCGAGGAAAAGAGGTTTTCACAAATTCCCTTGATGTAAGTCTCATGTAGCTCGATATTCTTCAGAATACCGTCTCTTTCATCTTTCAAGGCCTGAATAGATCTCTTTTTATTCTTCATAATTCTAGATTTCTTCTTCTTGTTGCTCTCACTGTCTTCGACTGGTCTAGCTTGTATTTTCTCGGTAGTAGATTTATACTTGTCAATCGGGCAATGGATATTTGACAATTGGAGATACCAGAAGAGAGTGTAAAGTTCTGGAGTGATGAAGTTCCAAACTTTATTTTTTTGATCTATCAGGTACTCCTTTTCAGTAAAGTAATCATTCGATCATTCAGTTCCAATACATTTAGCATTCTCTGACAGATGATAATCTAGGACATCCTTAAATTCTTCAGTTTTTGCCTTGAATTCTTCTGGTGAAAGTTCATATAATGGCTTTAAGCAGTGTCTGATAGTAGTGAAAACTTGTTCTGGATGCATTCCGAATGTCCTGGTCAAGACATGTAAAGGATTCGTTGGTAATAACTGTTCATAACTTGAAGGATGTTTCTCAGCAAACATCAAGAACTCATTGATTTGAATGAAAATACTATGCAAATCATCGTGTCTGGAGCTTAAAAATCTTAGCTGGCTACTATCGTGGCAATAAAGCACAGTTTTGCTAGTAACTCCTACTAGAACCATAAATAAGAATGCAAATGAGAAGTTTCCCTGCTTGAGCTCTCCATCCTCATTTTCTCTATATCAATAAGGCGTGATTTCATATAGTGCTCTTTTTAGAGCTCTTTCAGAATATTTTGAGGATCTCAATTTTTCAGTATACTCTGAAGCTTCAATTCTCAGTAAAAATCCTCCAGCAAGACATTCTATTTGATTTTGAGTCATTTCAGTGAGATCTAGGGTCACCCACCCTGACATGAACATTACAATATCTCTTAACAGACTCATCTCAGGAACGAAGCCTTGTTTGATGTGATTGAGCAGGAATACAAAGATAGCGTTCAGGTCAACATTATGATGCTTTTTGAAGAATTGCCCTGCAAAGGAAGTGATGTTTTGAAGCCATGCAGATAAAGTTCCTGTCTTCTCGATCTTCTCAGTCTTAAAGTCCATTATCTGCCTAACCAAGGTGAATGCGATACAGTCTAAACTCAGTTGGGATCAGTAGTTAAGAGCTATCAAGGTAGGATCGGTAAGATTTCTGTAAGCTCTAATGTTACTAATAACAATATCAAAGGAAACAAGAGGATTGCTGCATGAGATTCTACTCAAAAGTCTTCCAGCTTCTTTAGCCTTTTCGTTGTTAACTCTTTTACACCAGTCTAGTGTTTCTTTTTCAGTTGTGCACATTTGGCACACTGATTCACAAGTCATGCTTGATCCTATCCTGAACCAGAAATCATAGATTTCATATCTCTCTCGAGAAGAATAAACTTGTAATAGTTCCCATATCATGTTGGAAATTCCAGGGTTGCTCTCAATGCTGCTCAGAGCTGGTAGGAACGAAAAATTTAACATATTTTGGAGAATATCCTTATATTCTTCACTTATAGGTTTCTTGAAGCAGCTTCATAGTAATCTTATCAGCTTGGTAAAACATATGAGATCACTTGAGATTCCTGCACCGAGAACTCTCATGATTTTGGGCAATTCAACAAACAGCTCTTCTACTGTATTTACTTGGCAAATTGAAAGTTCTGGGTTCCAACTATTCGAAGTGAACTCCTGAGGTAACTTTTTGTAAGGTCTATTGAACTTTGTAACCGGAGAAATCTTCTTATACATTGGATCTATACACCACATCAGCAGGTCGCAAAGGTTTTGACAGAGGCCTCTATGCCACTTAGCATCAATAATAGAGTCATTTCTAACATTCTCAAACTTATTACTGAGATATGTCAGTGGAATAGTAGTCATGATCTCTACATCTCTCCAACAATTGAGCTTGACAAGGTTAGAAAGCAGAAGTAGCTGGAAGTTCTTCTCATAAGTCCTGAGTAATGATTCCTTAGCCCTCAGTTTCTCTTTCTCCTTCTCTTGAGAGGACAATTGAGTTAGCTTGATAGTATGGGCATCTTTATAGTACTCTTCAGCCTTGAGACGCTTATCAATAATGAGGTAGTTCAGGTCTGCAAGAGGGTTCCTTGCCTTCTCAGAGATTTCTATGCTTAGTCATTAATGCTTACTCTTAATCTCCCCAACTGTGAGCCCAGCTGGTGTGTTCAGATTCTTATTAAGAAGAGGGTTATCTTTTTCATCAAATTCCTACAATGAGAAAGAGGGCTTACCAGGATTTCTTCAAGAGAAATTTCTTCGTTCTTAATGAAGTAAGCTGCTAACTTTATGAGCCTTTCAGGAACCTTCTTGTGCTCATAAGAATTCTTAATCTTAAATCTCAAAATATGTGATATTGACGACAAAGAATCCTCATCTCGCTTCCTAAAATCCATATAAACCCACTAAACTCCCAAAATCCCAATAAATTTCCACCAAAAGCACAAGTACTTACTTCTGTATAAACCTGAACAGGATTTTCTGGAAGCAATCGTTGTCAGGGTGGAAGGAGTATCAGTCCAGGATTACATCTATATTGAGATAAGTATTTCACAAAAAGTCAATATTATGATAAGAAGAGATGGCTTACCTATAACTCTATTTGGATCAAGTCTAAAGAATCCAATTAAGGAGAAAATGTTATCAATAATTGTCTCAATGTTATCACTCCTAACATTTGGCTGTACTAACTCAGTGATTAATCTTGCATATCCTTCATTTTCCTCTCGGAAGAGGTTGAATTTCTTAAGCTCGTATAGCATATTAGTCCTGATTTTATTTCTTTTTGAGACATAATTGTCTTTGGAGAAAAACTCTAGTTCTATCAAAGCATCCTCTTCAAGCTCTTCCTGGATCGTTTCCAGGGTCACTAGACCATTTTCAATAAACTTTATAATAGCCTGTCTAATATTCTTCTTAGACTCATTGTCTGACTGGGCTGCGTCTTCTTTCTTATCAGCTGGCCCACAGAGATCTTTGATGTTAAAGGTGAGTATCCAGATTACCTCACAGATCATTTTGTTCAACAAGATGCTATTAATTCTCTTAAGATCTTCAAAGATCTTGATCGATTCCTCACAATCTATATGAACTTCATCTAGCTCAGGCATCTTCTCTGATATCTCTTTTGACTTATTTTTAGTACTGAAAACACTCTGGAGGATTACTAAAAGTCCTTTTTGGACTTTCTGGGCCAAATCAGGGGATCCCTCTGGGTCTAAACATTAGCACTTAGCTCACTTATATCAAGCTGCTTGAAATCTTCCTTCAGGTTTGTAATAACAGGAGGAAGCTTGTCATCGATCTTAGTTTCTTCAGGTTGCTTGGTAACCTCTGGCTCTTGTGTATCCATAGTTCTAATAATTTGAATTATTTAGGATTTATGGGGTTTTGGGGTTTTGGGGTTTTGGGGTTTTGGGG